GGCCATTTTAAATGAATAGGAACAAATTTAACTCAATGTTTGGGTTAGTCCATATTTTATCCAATTTGGGTTTAAATTATTTCTGTGCCTATGAGTTCTTTGTTTAAATGAACACAAATGAAGATTTTTGAAGAATGTTGTCGACCAAACCATTGTTGGTCCCGCTGACTTCCATAGTTATGTATTAAAGTCAATGGGGCGATCTTTAACTTTTTGATTGTCAACATGCTTTAAAATATCTCTATAAAAAACTGTCTGGAACAAGTCAGCAAATTTTCACTTTTGCGTGAACTGTCTCTTTAAAGGTTCCTTGAATTGAAATAAAAATCTTAGATGTTAGTTTCAGTCTGTTATTTTTAAGGATATCTATAATCTAGTCTGTTATTTTTAAGGATATCTATAATCTAGTAAACAATGAGAGAATTTGCGTTTAGAACATATACGTAACACAGATATAAACTTCTAAAGCTTGCAGTTTCTCACTTTCGCTTAAACGGATCTGCGATGCAATGGTAAAAACTACTAGTTTAGAAAATAATGTGAAAACTCTTCATATATTAGAGTGTTATTTATTGCCACTCAGTAACCAATTAATACAGCACAAAATAATAATAATAATAATAATAATAATAATAATAATAATAATAATAATTATTATTATTATTATTATTATTATTATTATTATTATAATCAAACAATAGTCCATTTCTTTTTGGACTTAAAAATAAATGAAATAGGTTTTTGACTTTTAATCATAAGTAATAATTTTACACTGATAATAAATGACAGAACAATAATTAAACAAACAAACAAACAAACAAACAAACAAACAAACAAACAAACAAACAAACAAATAAATAAATAAGAAAGTGTGTTTGTCTAATGTAAGTCTAAGCTACATATTAGCTGAAGTATTTCCCTTTTATATAGAACAATTGCAGTCAAAGGCTACTAAAGCTCTGTCTGGAAGGCACTTTTGACTATATTACAAAATTGTTTGGTATTTGTTTATTTTGTTGTGTATATTTTATACAAAGCATGAAGCTGATCGGTCAGTTCTTGTCACGAGACTTGTGGTTTGCTCGCAAAATTCTTTCAGTTAGGTGCGCCTAAAAAGCATGAGTGTGTTGTGCTGCTTACGCACCACATGGGTGTCGCTCCCAATATGTGCACGCAAGCTGCCCGCCTCCATTGGAAATAATGAACTTGCGCACAAAAGACGCAACTTGTGAACGGCCCTTATTTAATCAACGATTTTTTTTTTCATGTCACCTCAAACTTCAGTTTCTCATCAAATATTGACCAATCAAATGCTCTCTAGTGTCTGACATGTCCCGCCCCCTTCAAAACATTTTCCATTTGTTTTTCATTTCTTATTTGCACTTAAGCTTGCCCGCTTTCACTGCCAGAACTGTGATAAAAGGAAATGAAATTGGCAGTTTTTTTTTAAAAAGGAGGGGCTATGTACCACTCTCTTCTAATTTTTCAGTTGAGATTACTTCAAACAGTGAATAAAAAAATACACATTTCACAGCACTTTACTTGACCTTTAATAGTCGATAAAGTCAAATTTAAAGTCAATGAGTGTGCGGCGGGATTATCAACTTTTTGGTTATCAACATTCTTCGAAATATCTCTTCAAAAAATGTTTGGCACAAGTGAGCAAATTTTTATCAACTTTTAGGTGGACTATCCCGGATAGTTCTGGGAAATTAAAAATAAAGAATGGGTTTAGATGTTAGTTTCAGTTTGTACGTTATAAGGATATCTACTGTATAGTTGAGCTCCAAAACAGTGGCTAAATTCACATTTAGAAAATATGAAGACGATATAAACATCTTATGCTTGCAGTTTATCATTTCCGGCAAAATGCATCAACAATTTTTTCACGTCACCTCTTACTTCAGTTCTCATCAAATCTTGACCAATCAAATGCTCTCTATGGATGCTATAGTATCTGACATGCTCCGCCCCCTTCAAGACTTGCTTTTCATTTGATCTCAACCACTCTCACTGGCAGAGCTGTGATAAAACCAAACACTACTGGCACTATGAAACACTATTATAATTCACAAAAAAAAATTCAAAGCACTCCACAAGACCTTAAATAGGTGAATGACTTGCTGTAACACTTGACCGGTTACTAAAATGTAGCTTTACCTCAAATTAACCAGGAGTGGGTTTACTTGTTTTAAACATTAAACTAACAAATAAAAAAGTACTCTGATGATGCCATCATATGGTTGTGCTGCTAAACATTGATTTATATGGTTATGTAGCTGCTGGGACGATGGCCATTTGCTCAGTGAGTCTTTATTTAGAAAGGTTCTGTTTCAGAAGGGGTCTGGACGGGAGGTGGGGGTTTCGCTGGGGGTTGAGTTTCTGACCAGTGACAGGATAAAGGAAACAGAGTCGCTCCAGAGGTCGGCTTGAGAAAACACAGCCTCTGTCAGTCACACAGACTCTGGGCTGGGATTAGGCCTCAGCCTGGGGGGGATCAGGTTTCTCTGGCTGGGATCCCTCACTGCCCGAAACCACTACCAGATGTGGAGCAGCCAGCCTGAGAGCGGGACGGGGCTTTATCAGCATGTTTGTGTGTTTGTACTGTACTGTTATAATGTGTTTGCTGGAGTCTATATGAGATGAGTTTGAGGACTGGGTGAATTTATTACAAAAAAAAAGTTAGTTATGAAAAATGCTAATTTGCTTTTTGTTGAAAGGTTCTTAAGTAAAACCTTATGAAAAATACAACATTTACAGTTCATCGGACAATGAACCCAACAGATGGAAACATATTAATAAATGATCTTTTTTAGTAAATTTTAAACATATATTATAACATTATATATTTTATAACAACATTTAGCACTGGTATATGTTCATTATTAAATAAATTAATAACTTTATTCTGCAACAGTGCATTCAGTAAGTCAAAAGTCACATTTTGTTGTTATTTGTTGATCATTTAATTCATTAAATTAAATTAAATTAAATTTAATTTAATTTAATTTAATTTAACTTAATTTAATTTGATATTTTTAAGTTAAGTTATGAATATATTGTTGTAACAATTTTACTTGTTTCTATTCTATGGTTGTTATTGTATGAATCTACAGATGTTACTACTTCAATGTGTTCCTTTTGGCCCCATTCATACCGTGGCCACGGTAGTAATTGGTGCGCCAGCAGCTTTTGACCGCTGGGTGGCACTTTAACCACAGATATTCACCTTTGCCTTTTCACAATACTAAACAGACGGTTCTGTATGCGTACCTTGTGTGATGTGATGTGTTCAATTAAAATATAATTTTTATTTAGTTATCTTGGTAATAAACATCATCTTACACTATACTGTATGTTTTGGAAAAGATACATGGTGAGAAGTATAGCCATAAGCTTTAAAAAACAAATATAAGAATTAAGTTCTTTAGCCTTTAGTGCCCTATAAAATTGTGTTGGGGTGAAAATAATGTTTTGATTTCTTTGACCATCATGGCGATGTTATTACCTCAAATCTTAAACGTGTGCATAAGAAAAACAGCAAAATAATATTAAGATTATCGTGCCATTGGAGCACATCACCTGATTGTGAACTTGTGACCACGTGAACTTACTTTATCAGTAGGCTGTTTAATATTTATTACAGGCTGTGTTATAAATATTTGACCAACTGCCACTTCATGTAAAACACTCTCATGTTTGGATAAATTAATTAAATGAATAGGCATATCCACACACAAAATGAGCCGCATATTATTTATCGTCTGTTTATTTTCTCAGTTCATTTCTTTTTCACATTAAAAAAGCGCTTTATGTCCACTAATGTGTAATAATAATAATATTAATAATAATTAGCTAATAGTAATTACCTATATACATATTGCCAGGATGCGTGGTGATTTGACTGGGTCGAAAGCAAAATTGTTACCTGTTGCACGGCATAGGCTAGCCTATAGTGTGGAAAAATATAAATAGATACGTTTCCCAAAACCATCGTTAGCCAACTAAGGTCTCGTTGTTACAAACATAGTTCGTTGATTTGTCGTTTCCCAAAAGTTAGTTCATAATAGTTTCGTTTTTACATATAGCATTGCATAGACGTTTTTATCGGACTTTAATTAACGCATGAATTCTGAGTAATTATTTTAAACATAAACCTGCGTTTTAATGACGGATGTGGGTGTTGCAAAATACTTTTTAAATAAATGTTTTGTATTATTATTATTTAATGTGAACAACACTTAATAAAAATTTAAATGTATTTATTTCACCACTTATTGGAAAAACTATCAATTACAGTGCTTCTCGCACTTGTGGTGGTAGCCCGATTAAAACACACCATTTACCCACATCACTTAGTTAACTATATGCGATAAACAAAACATAATTCCATTTTATCCAAATCCCTTCCAACTGCAACCCATCCCTGGGAAACACCCACACACTCTCATTCACAGTCATAAACTGGGGACAATTTAGCTTACCCAATTCACTGTACCGCATGTCTTTGGACTTTGGGGGAAACCATAGCACCCGGAGAAAACCCACGTGAACGCAAGAAGAACATGCAAACTCCACACTGAAACGCCAACTGACCCAGCTGAAGCTTGAATCAGGGACCTTCTTGCTGTGAGGCGATAGCACTATCTATTCCGCCACTGTGTCACCATTATATTATATTATTGTATATTGTAATACATAACATTATATTATTTTAACAGTATCATTAGTTTTATTAACTGTCTAGTTTTCATTATTTTATTTTAATATTTTTTGTCATTCTAAGTTATTTTAAATTGTAAAAATTATTTTCAGTTTTAGCTGTTTGTTTAATCAAATGAATGCAGCCTTGTTGAGCAGAAGACATTCGAAAATCTTACCAACACCAAACTCTCTGAACGATAGTATAATTTTATATTGTTCCACATTAACCATTGTGAATATGAAATCTACACCCTCTTAATGACAGATTATGTGTCCTTAGAAAAGAGAACTCTTACCTTCATCTGTGTCCTGGTCCTGTAGAAGTATTGTCCAGGGTTGTTTCAGATCTCCCTCAGATGTCACAACCTTGAGGACTGGAGACACATTCTTTATGATATGATCATCTCTGTGTGTTTTTGTTTGCTCTGTCCCACTAATACTGACAACAATTTACATTTAAAATTATAATGGCATGAATCACACATATTGTAAAGAATTACCTCTTGTGAACATTTAATGTTTTTTTTTTTTTCTTTAAAGCAAAATGCTGTTTTATTTTATATATCTGTCAATATTTGGGAGTTTTGGTTTTTCATATAGTAACTTTTTATTCTAATGTAAAGAAAACATTCAAAATAAACATTTAAGTTTATATTTGTTGCAGTTTATCAATTTAAACCTGTAGATTTCAATTACAATACATGTTTTCTCAAGATGATTTATTTCTCTTGAACTAAGTCATAAATCTCCAGTAAGCAGGTCTTACATAAACCATGTTTATTCATATTATGGGTATGAATAAAGTTTTTTAGAGAGGGAAATGTCCAAGCATAATTTGCCAGATTATATATAGCTGTATTTTTTACTAAATGCTTTTTGAATTTTTGAATGATAAAAATAAACTTCCCAAATCCCCTCGTAAACCTGATAGGATTTATTTTGACCAATACGCATAACACAACACACAAAAATGGGTCTGTTTTGATACTGATATTGGTCAGTATCATACAGGAGTTTACAGTACTAACTATTCTTTTTTTTTTCTTTCTCCGATAAATGTATTTTATCCATTTAACATCCAACTGTCCAATATATTAAGAGAGGCACAAGTTATGATAAAAATGACAATCTGGTCATATTTTACATGAGGAGATTTTTGCCATTGAGTATTTCTTATTAACTTTTATTTGATAAATATGAGAATACTTTAATTTAGAATAATTAGAGAACAGAATAATTTGTAAATGATACATGATACATGCTGCTCCTAAAAAATCACTAAAGTACAGTCAATACCTCGGATTGTCCAATGCATTTTAGCCCAAACTAACCAATGTTTTTTTTTTTTTTTTTTGTGAGCACTTGAACATGGTGCACACCAGCTGCTTTTCCAAAGCACATCTGACATTTTCAGGCCTGATATTTTGTACAGATAAAAATGTAGCTTTTTGCAATTATTTTGCTCTGAGAAGAATGTTGGATTGTTTAAAAGGTCAGTATGAGAATAAGTGCATATGAACCGGAAGTAAGTTGCAGAGACTTTTATTGGAGTGTATTGATGTACTTCCAACTGAAAAGGAATATTGAGTAGTGGGCGGGGCTTTCATTTCGCACATCATTCCCTGGTAGCAAACAAATGGTAAGAGGGCCATGGCTAAGAATATTGTGGCTGAAACTTCAAATATTCATCAACAGAGAGGGAGGAGATTGCCAAAACAAACCTTTTTTTTTTTAATATGGATTATTTGTTCACCTAAAGCCATTGTTCTGCAGATTTCAGTTTCAACCACAATCAAACACATCCGAACCAGCAAATCAAACTTAATCTTGGTATACTAGAACCTTTCAGGCAGCCGTGTTGAGGTAAGTTGGAGCTAAACTATGCAGGACACCGGGCCTCTAGGACCAAGTTTAGACACCCCTGACCTACAGAATAACATAATTATGTGCACTAGCAAAATAAACATTGTAAATTCTAATTTCACACACATTTAGGCCCAATCCCAATTCTATTTTTGTACCCCCACCCCTTCCCCTTGGCCCTTAAAAACAAGTGTTAAGGGGAAGGGCTTCAAAATTTACCCCTAAAAATTGGGACAGCACTACAGCACCTGCACATGTCATCAAATGTCATGGCGATCTCATGCTTCATATGAGATCAGACAATCGCGACTGCTGTAGTTATTCCAGATACGTTATTTTAAACACGAATGGTGTTATAAATATAGTAAAACATATGCTTGTTTGTTGTAAAAATTCGTAATAATGACAAAAAAATACAAATTTTGTGGATCTCTTTACTTCCAGGTGCAGCAGTGGCTGGTGTATTTTGGGAAATTTTCTTACCCCTTGGTTTCGAATGTGGTCCTGAAAAATCTTCGTTCGAAGGGGTATCTACTCGTGCCCTTAGCCCTACGCCTTCAAGCTAAAGAGAAATGGGACACCACTACCCCTTCACAGGAATGCGCAAAATGAGGAGTATGGGGAAAGGGAAAGGGCTAAGAGGTAAAATTGGGATTGGGCCTTAACCTTTTCCATATTATTGCCGATAATGGTGATAGCTTCTACATTTATTTAAATCAGGCGATAAATATAAGATACGTCACTGCATCCCTGCATATTAGTGTATTGTCAATTAATTAATGTCTCATTTGCAGATTCAAAACAAAAATGCTTCCATTTTTTTGCAATCAATCATCTCTGGAAGCCTATGAATTTAGATGCAAAAGCCGCTCTATGCCACATCCGCCAAAAATCAAATAATGACATTAAGTGAATGCTTTAGGCACGTAGTACATGTTTAACAAATAGTTTAGCTTCAAATCATGTAAATCAAAGCATCAGCGAATTCAGAAATAACAGTTGGTTTGCAAAAGCCTCTAAACACTACTTGCCTTTGACAGCAAAAGCCGCTATACCCCGAGAACCAATCAGAAGACGCAGATTGAATCATATGTTTTTAATGTAGCAGCGTGCTGATACACCGGCTTGTATGAGGAGACTCTTTTTTCCACTTTCGATTTTAAAAGATGGAGTTTGATGAATTGGATGAGCCTGTCCGACTGTTGGTGAATGGCAAATGAAAAAGTCCCTTACCTCAAAACTCTGTGCATTATTAGAAAAAGAAAACACACTGTACAGTCGGAAGTTTAACATGCATTCATAACATGCTTTAGCGAGGTGACGCTACTTTGAATGAGTTTGATTTAAAATAGCTACATTAAACATGGAACATTGCCAAATTGAAGCCTTTTCTTTCTTTTAAAGAGCTGGAAACTGTCATTAATGTTTTTATTATGTCAAGACTGGACTACTGTAACTCTTTGTATTCTGGAGTTTCACAGGCATCAATAGCACGCCTGCAGCTGGTTCAAAATGCAGCTGCTAGGCTTTTAACTGGGACGAAAAAATTTTCTAGTATCTCACCAGTTTTATTGTCTCTTCACTGGCTCCCAGTCCAATTTAGAATTCAATATAAGTTATTGCTTCTAGTTTTTAAAAGTTTGAATGGTCTGGCACCGACTTACATTTCTGAGCTTCTTCACTGGCACACTTCATTGAGGCCAATCAGGTCTGAAAACACATTTCAGCTAGTTGTCCCCAAAACGCAGTTGAAATCAAGAGGTGACAGGGCTTTTTCTGCTGCAGCCCCCCGACTGTGGAATGGTCTGCCTTTACAGATCCGGTCATGTTCTTCACTTGGTGCTTTTAAGTCTCATCTAAAAAATCACCTTCTGTCTCTTGCCTTTGATTGTAATTAATTTAATTTTAATCTGTTTTATATATTTTGCACAATTTGTATATATAGGTATAGATTTTGTATGCTGGTCGTTTTGTAAAGCACTTTGGAAAACATCTGTTGTTTTTAAATGTGCTCTATGAATAAAGCAAACAAACAAACAAACAAACAAACAAACAAACAAACAAACAAACAAACAAACGGCAACTCCATTTCACGAAAGACGAGTTAAGATGTTGTTATTTTATGAACCGCCACTTACTTGACAGATTTATATACTTTTAACATGGGGTGGTTTGTGTAATGTGTTTTATGTTTGGTAAAATAATTAGCATCTTTAGCTGTTTTTCAACGATTAACACTGTCTTGTCCCAATTGGTGGATTTAGAGGTTTTTACAAAAAAAGCATAAGTGGATTTAGCTGGTTTTGATGTAAAAGAAAATCTACTTTGTAAAAAACAAAGAATTGTCTAAAGTGACATTTACAAAAGGGTATTTTATGTACTAGCTAATAACCTTATCATTAATTATAAAATGAAACCTAATTATAGGAGCCTGATAGAAAATGTTCATTTACAGAAAAAGAGGTCTGATGAATTTAGAGGGTTTTGCATCTGAACTCTTCATAAAGAGATAAATATTTGTTGTTGTTTTTTACTCTGTTCACCTGAAGTGAAACCTTAATAGACCTATGAACAAAACCCACAAACATTACTTTGTCTTGTGTTTATTAGCTTGAGCACAGAGTAAAAGCAGGTAAAACCCTGATTACCGTTAGCCTGTGTGGCTTCAGCCATTATTGGGTGGTCCTCAGTGTCAACTGTGGGATCCCAGAGAGACAGGCGGATGATTTCACCATCAGGACCCATTATTAAAGTGCCCACTGCTTTGCCTTCCTGCCATTCTGAAAACACACATGCTTAAACTGTCAGGCTGGACAAATGAGAATACGGAAAAATAAAACGTTATACACATTAAGTGGCTACGGGATAAATTCAGACCCTTACATTATATGCAATAATATTTTTTTATACATATTATTTTGCACATACATTTATGTGCTTACTTATTTGCAGTACTTTATATTTGTTGTATTTATAGCTGTGTTGCTATTTTTAGCATCATCTAAATATTTGTTTTTATCGAATAATTATATAGACAGTTTGAGCCTATTGACTAATACTTATATTTTAAAAACAGTCTACATATTTAAATAATATAACTACACAAACGTATCTATATAAATATTAAAATATAACTATACAAAAAACTATATTTTAAAATTGCATAAACTATAATACAAATGTATTAATGAAATAACATGCAATTTTGAAATATTTATTTTGTATTTTTTATATTTGTCTGTAAATATTTGATCTATCTACATTTGTTTTGTTTTACAACAGTACTGTCTGGTTCTGGAATCTGCTTGGCTGATAGCAGTCCAATATTCTGAAATATCAGAACTCCCACAGCCTCCTCACCCTTGTATATTACTCCGCCCACAAAGAGTGAAGGCAGATCAATAAACCCAATACAGTTTGACAAGTATTGCACCTGTTGGACAACATAATGTACTTTTGAGGGTTTTTTGGCGAGATTGTTGTTGTTTAGATTGCAACTATGACATTTATCTATAAGATAGTGCCTATTTTAAATATTTAGAATTTCAGAGATACAGAGCAAGCCACAAGATGGCAACAAAGACAGCATAATAAGCCATTAGAAGAGGAAAAACCCAGCATAATTTTAAGTTACAGCTAATCAAATCACTATAAATCTGGTAAGTGAATTTCTATGTAGTGTATGGAGTGTGAGATGGGACTCACATAATAAGCCCTTACGCTTAGAAGATATAACTCCTATAACTAGCTGGTCAAATCATTATTAACTATCAACACTCCCATTTTTCATGGGAGTATCCTGTATTTCAGACCAATATCTTGCAACCATCCCATTTTTTATTTGTTCCGAAAAGCTCCGGTAATTTTTTGACGTCAGCTGCAGGTGTGAATCAATGGCGGAAGAAAGTAATTCCTAATAAAAAAGGGTTTTTAGACTCTTCGTGCTTAATTTTCTTTGTTTATATACAAGATTGTGCCGTCGAACTGTTGTATAACTGCAATATCACACTCGTAGCAGTGCGATATGACTGTATATCAGCAATGGTGGGACTGGTGCTAACGCACGCCTCCCACCAGTGCTGACATATACAGCCATACAGCATTGCTACGAGTGTGATATTGCTCATTAATAGTTGTTTATTTATCTATTTATTTATATACTGATTGATTAATTGATTGATTTAATACTTCGTATACTATATACCTGTACAGTCTGCACTCACTGGTTATATAATAAATACATATTCATAATATAATCTTAATTAAATATTTTATTTAGTTAGCACATAATTTTTTATATCTATTTATGACATTTTTTTTAAATATGTGGTTCAATGTAACTGTAAATATATTTACATACAGTATAATGTTTATTTTTTATTTGTAGTGTTAAATATTTTTCTATAAATATTTAACTATATCTAACTTCGTAAATATCACATATACAGTACTTAAAATTTTTCAGTTCTTTAGGTCAATGCAATAATAATATAAAATGTATATAGTATCGTGTAATGTAGCTATGCAAAAATTTCTTTGGTATAAATATATGTTATTATTTTTGCTTCATGAAGGATTAACCCTTGACCTGTCACTAAACACATGTTAGGAAATACCCTGCAGTGTCCATGCAGCTAACAGTTCCTTGTTTTGAGATGTGTTCATGAGTCCTGCTGTTACCTCTGAGTTCCAGCGGGATGCAGCCTCTAGTGTGTCCTGTCTGAGCTTCTGTTGTGTCTATGGGCTCCTGCAGGCTCTGTCTGTACACTGCCATAGAGCTCTGTTTACCAGGACCCCTCCGGCCCAGCAAAGGCGGCAGTGGACCAACAGGCAGAGGCTGATCTGATGCAATTAAAGCAAAACAATTCACTTCATTTCTCTTGAAGTTATGACAGGAGAAATCAAAGATGTCTTGACCTTTTGATCTGAGGTCTTTGTTTCATTCAAATATTCTACAGGTTTTAGCACTTCAGTTGTTATCCTTGTTATAAACAAATAATTAAATTATGACATTTTAAATTTGATTTTGTAATTTAATAACTTAATTCAAATAAAACCTACAAAACTATATTTTCATAAATGTGTATTGTGTATATTTCATTCTAGCATTGTTATTTTATTAAAATTACATACACAAGGTTTCTATATATTTCTATGGTTAAGTGGCTTTAACCATACCTGTCAACCCTCCCGTTTTTCCCGGGATTCTCCCGTATTTTACTGTTCTATCCCGCTATTATCCCGTAAAGGTATTTTCCCGTATTTCTCCCATATTTTCAGTCTTTCTCTGAACAGCCGAGCCTCCCTATACGCAACCCGTACCGCCGAACCACCAGGGGTCGCTCCTTGCTCTAAAACGCGAGCCTTCTGTGCTTTCGCTTTGTTTAGGAATGAAAACACTTATAATAAATATTAAAAACGGCGCGATTCAATTTCCTTTTGATTACAGGTGCCGTCACCTATCCTATACAATCCTCAAAACAGTCATATAACTTAATGGTGCATGACTGTCAGCTGACGTGCTCCATACTAATAAACAGATGCTGTTTCCCATAGCTTGATTCTGTTTCAGCTATTAATTTTAATAAGCTGAACTGTTTGCTAATGTATTTGCTGCTAATTTATATATTATTTTTCTTTTGGTAATAATAATTTTAAAACATATTGCTGACCATTTAACAGTTTATTTACAATGAAACAGCTATGAACATATTTAGTAATTTGGGGATTTAATTGATCATGCTTTTCAGCTTTTGCTACATTTTCCTATGCCTTTGAATATGTGTGCCTCTGTTGCCCAACTTTTTGTTAACAAAAACAACTTTCTGACAGCAAAAACATATCTTAACTCAAGACATGTCTTTCAAAAGAACATTTTAAGTGCAGTGAAAAATCCCTTGCAGGCAGTTGAACACAATTAAAGGCAATATTATTATAGTTAACAGTGTTCAGTGATTCACTGATACTGCACTCGCTGCCTGTAATGTTAACTTACATTATGCTAGCTCACTATCCTCGACCCATTCTTAATTTTGATTCTGTAAAATGTCCAAGAAACACAGCGAAAATGGACTTAATTAAGTCTCAACCTTTATTAAAGCTCATGACGGACATTTCTTAAAGAGGGAATAACAAATTTCTTCCATGAGACGGTGTGTGGGAGCTCGAGTGGCCAGCAAGCGCACCGTTGTGATCGATGACTCTCGCTTGTTTAATAATGCCTGTGACAGCGGTGATGTAATTTTGCAAGTGGAGTGTCATTGTTTGATTCGTACTTGTAATCAGGAATCCGTGTCCGTGATGAAACTCTGTTTCGTGTTTGTAAAGTACACCCATCATAAATTTATCAGTCATATACAAACAGACAAAGAAAATGTTGTATCTGTTTCTGTTTTAATCGCAGATTTTGGAATTGTACCCTCGTAAAATTACGAGTACGTTCCGTTTTTCTTTACGATTTTATAATTACGGATGCGTGAATTTTATTTATGCACAAAATACTTATCACCGTTATTTTATTCCATATTGGGCCAAGTTAAGCAGGTCGCACACCAGAAGCGCCGCTCGGCGCCGCGACACGGCGCGTACATGACAGTTTAAAGTATCATACACCAGACGCGCACATTCGAATGATATTTAACATGAAACTAATCAGATGGCGCTCTGTGGCGCGGCTGAAAAATGAACTGCGTCCTGAGCCGTTGCCGGGCGCCGCCGACAGCCGCCGACTTGCGGCGCCGGTGTGTGTATCCTGATAGAAACCTATGTTTAGAATTCTAAAATACATGGCGCTGCGTGGCACGTCGTGCGACAATGCCGAGTGCACTCTCAGAAAAAAAGGTACAATGAGTGTGCGACCTGATTTACATGTCTCCTCATTCATTCACCAGCTGCAACTATAAGAGTTTACCCCGAAACTAATATTATTCGACCCTGGAGTAATAAGTGAATCTCCCGTGCTATCTATAACACAACAAAGAGACAGAGCAGGAAAGGTTTACACATGTAATATTTTTTTCCTGAGGCGATTTGAAGCAAAATACACAATGACACTCAATCAAACATATCTACAATGATAAGGATAATGGTTAATTACTGAGTTATTAACGCACAGCAACGCCACATGAAGAAAGGACAGACTTTGAAGGAATAATCAGTGTAAGGAGAGATCCATGGTGCACTGAACAAGTCTGAACATGTTCTGCGTGCGCAGTACGCAGGTCTTAACAATTACGTAATTTATCTGCTTAAAGATATCGGTCTAATTTAGACATCGGATCGATAACGATAATCTTATAAATATCATTTATTGGCGTTTATCGTGCATCCCTAATATATATATATATGTATGCTTAATGTTTTCTTTACAACTTGTCTGTGCTAGCAGACACAGCAGAAACCAAACTAAACACGAAAAAGTCTGTGTTCATAGAGATCTCATGGAGGCTTGTTTTGACTGCGTCCCAGAGCGCTAGTTGCCAGCTGAACCTTCACCCATGTGTTGTTATTTTGATATCCAGCAGTCCTGTCCTCACTGCCCACTGCTCTGCCCGTCTAAAGGCTTCATTTAGCTGCAGCCAAGCACAAGCCGAGCCACACATGAAGAGAGCTTTAGCGGTACTGCCTCACTGTATGAGACCTGAGCTCAACGCTTGTTTAACACGAGTCTGACCCATGTGTGTGTGAACTAATGAGGGGAGAAAAGGGGAGCATGAAGTAAGAAATTTATTAAATAAGACATGTTTGAAAATCAGAAAGAAATGGTCATACCACTTTAAAATGAGGTTTATTTCATTTGTAATATTTCTCTACGGTTTATTCTACTGTGGCAAATCCTGATAGAAGGAAACAAGCTGAAAGATAGTGCGTGAGTATTATTTTGCTGTTATTATTAGATCTACTTGATCTATGTATTGATAGATCTATGTATATTATTAATCATTGTAAATGAATTATGAATGAACAGTAGGTATGTTTAAACACTGGCCACTTTATTAGGTACACCTGTCCAACTGCTCGTTAACGCAATTTTGTAATCAGGCAAACATATGGCAGCAACTCAATGCATTTAGGCATGTAGACATGTTCAAGACAATCTGCTGCAGTTCAAACCGAGCATGGCATGGTTATTGGTGCCAGAAGAGCTGGTCTAAGTATTTCCGAAACTGCCGATCTATTGGGATTTTCATGCACAACCATTTCTAGGGTTTACAGAGAATGGTCCCAAAAAGAGAAAATATCCAGTGATCGGCAGTTCTTGTTAATGCCAGAGGGCAGAGGAGAATGGCCAGACTGGTTTGAGCTGTTAAAAAAGGTAACAGTAACTCAAATAGCCATTCGTTACAACCGTGGTATGCTGAAGAGCATCTCTGAATGCACAACATGTCCAACCTTGAGGCAGATGGGCTACAGCGGCAGAAGACCACACTGGGTGTCTGTAAGCTAAGAACAGGAAACTGAGGCTACAATTCGCACAGGCTCATCAAAATTGGACAACAGAAGATTGGAAAGACATTGCCTTGTCTGATGAGTCTCAACTTCTGCTGCAACATTCGGATGGTAGGGTCAGAAATTGGCGTCAACAACATGAAAGCATGGATCCATCCTCCTTTGTATCAATGGTTCAGGCTGCTGGTGGTGATGTGATGGTGTGGGGGATATTTTCTTGGCACATTTAGGGCCCATTAGTACCAGTTGAGCATCGTGTCAATGCCACTGCCTATCTGAGTATTGTTGCTGACCATGTCCATCCTTTTAGGACCACAGTGTACCCATCTACTGATAGCTACTTCCAGCAGTATAACGCACCATGTCATAAAGCCTGAATCGTTTCTTGAAATTAATTCACTGAACTCAAATGGCCTCCACTATCACCAGATCTCAATCCAATAGGGCACCCTTGGGATGTGGTAGAATGGGAGCTTCGCATCATGGATGTGCAGCCGAAAAATCTGCAGCAACTGTGTGATGCTATAATGTCATTATGGAGCAAAATCTCTAAGGAATATTTCCAGTATTTTGTTGAATGTATGGAGTAAGGCAGTTCTGAAAGCAAAAGGGGGTCCAACCCAGTACTAGTAAGGTGTTCCTAATAAATTGGCCAGTGAGTCTAAATTAAGTTAAACATAGATTAATTAAAATATTTATCGTTGATATTTGATGATCCCTAATGCAAGACTAGTTGCAACTTCATGTAAAAATGATACTCAAATTACATGATTTATTTATATTTAAATATTGTTTACTATTGGAGCTTACTCTCTGAAATAAAAAAAAATTGACTCAACTTCTTATGTGAAATAGTTCAGTACATACCATGTTATTTAGACTTTTTATGTAGCATTTACTGCAGAGTAGTACACTGTATTCCTGTATTAAACTGTATTATTGGTTTATTCATCAAATACCAGCTGGGTTGCATTATTCCAGACTGTACATGTACAAGTCATAATCTTGGCAGTGTTGTTGTATTTTTTCATCACTTGACCAGTTTTCAATACCACTGACTTTCAGCATGAGTCATTTTGAGTTCCTCACTTAAATAAGAGCCCCAGGTGTTCTCACAATATGTATTTCACTAATATTATCTTTAGAAAATGTTTGACAAGTTTTTGAGTTTGAATTGAACAGCAGCCCCAGATATGAATGTGCAAAGTAATGCTTCACTTCTACAGCGTCGACCATAAATGCTGACATTTCACAAAAGATCATATCACAAAACTCATCTCGCCGTGATGGCGGACTGTTTTTATTAAGCTGCCTCACGCACCATAAATCATTGTATTTCTTTCAGCAAATGCATTGTGCGTCATATGTGAATCAACAGCCAAACTGTGTTCATTCTGAAAATATAATAAATACATCGTTACCTCCTTTTTCTAGATAGTCAGAGCCCATGACATGACCGAGGTCCATCTCTATGACCCTGCACTTGCTGTCAGGCAGAAGGTTTTGTCCAGTTTTCTCTTTATTCTCCACATTGCCACATGGCTCAGTCTCCTTAACTGGGCTCCTGCTAAGCTCATCTTGAAGAAAGAATGGTTTGTATAATGTGCCATTATGACCTAACCCATGATGCTGCATTCATTGTGTTTCTTACCATGTGGCTGAAGGGTGTCTGTATGTTGTGTTTGTTCAGGGAAGAGCAACAGTACTTTGCTTTGGATGCGTCTCTCCGAGGGCCCGTCATGTGCAGTTTGCACTTTGATGGCAGGAAGGTGCATGTGTAGCTCTCGCTGAGGTACATTCTCATAGCTTCTCACTTCTTTTATTTCTGGTATATTCTTTAAGACAATAAAAAGAGATACATTGTAAACAGTTAAAGTCAGAATTAATAGCCCTCCTGACTTATTAGCCCTCTGTATATTTCCCTCCAACTTCTGTTTAACAGAAGTTTCTAATAAATTATTTCTTTTAACTTTGCCATGATGACAGTAAATAATATTTAACCAGATCTTTTTCAAGATACTTATAGTTAATAATAATTCCTTAAATTTATATAGCGCTTTTCTGGGAACTCAAACCGCTTTTCACATAGGGGGGAATCTTCTCATCTACAACCAGTGTGCAGAATTCACCTGGATGACGTGACGGCAGCCATTTTGCACCAGACCACACACCAGCTGATAGGTGGAAAGGAGACAGAATGATGAAGCCATTTGTGATATGGGGAGGGTTAGGAGGCCATGATGGACCAGAGGACAGAAATTTGGCCAGGATGCCTGGGTAAAACCCCTACCTTTTTTGGGGGGGATTTTTAATGACCACAGAGAGTCAGGACCTCGGTTTAACGTCTCATTAGAAAGATGGCACTTACCTAGCAGTATAGAGTCCCATCACTATACTAGGGCATTAGGAATCACACAGACGACAGGCTGGGTGCCCCCTGCTGGCCTCACTAACACCAGTTCCGACAGCAACCTAGCTTTCCCATGTGGTCTTCCATCCAGGTACTGACTAAGTGCAGCCCTGCTTAGCTTCAGTGGGCGACCATGTGAGAGTTTTAGAGAGTTAGCTGCCAGCTATTCAGCTTAAAGTGCAATTTGAAGGCTTAATTCAGAATTAATAGCCCTCCTAACTTATTAGCCCTCTGTATATTTCCCTCCAACTTCTGTTTAACAGAAGTTTCTAATAAATGATTTCTTTTAACTTTGCCATGATGACAGTAAATAATATTTAGCCAGATCTTTTTCAAGATACTTATAGTTAATAATAATTCCTTAAATTTATATAGCGCTTTTCTGGGAACTCAAACCGCTTTTCACATAGGGGGAAATCTTCTCATCTACAACCAGTGTGCAGAATCCACCTGGATGACGCGACGGCAGCCATTTTGCACCAGACCACACACCTTTCCCATGGTCTTCCACATGGGAAAGGTACTGACTGAGTGCAGCCCTGCTTAGCTTCAGTGGGCGACCATGTGAGAGTTTTAGAGAGTTAGCTGCCAGCTATTCAGCTTAAAGTGCAATTTGAAGGCTTAATTATGTTAATTAGGCAATTAATTGTTGAAGTATATTCAGTAGACAATCTAAAAAAAATATATTGCTTAAGGGGGATAATAATATCGACCTTAAAACTGTATATGGGTTTAAGTCATTAATTGATGACATGATGAATTTAAGGTGGAGTATTTTTTCAAAACATTCCAAAATGACAAAAGAGGTTATTTAGCAAACACGGATTTAAATTTTCAAGAATATGGGTTGTTTTTGATTGGGTTCCATTACTTGCGCTACATGGCTAGCCTGCTATGGAGCAGATTTTTTTCTGGTTTAGAGAAAACCCAAACTGGACCAAAGAACTGTAAGTCAAGTGACTCATAAATCAGTGAGCAGCTTTATTGCATCCGTTTTTGTTGTTGTTGTTGCTCCAAATTAAACCCATTTTCAAAGTATTTTAAGTCGAAATTTTATGTTTAGTTTTATTTCGATTATAATTATTGATCACACTGTTAAGAATTTCCAGTAGAAAATACAGTAACTTAATGGCAGCAGTTTACCAGTAACTTGCTGTAATTTGATTTACAGCACTGGTAAACTGCTGCCAGTAAGTATGCTGTATTTACATTTACAGCAAGATTTATCTTGCTGTATAGGTATTTACAGTATTATATTCTTTACTGCACTGTAAAAAATACTGTAAAATTTACACCACTACTGGCAAATTGAATGGCAAATTAACAATTACAACTGGGATGTAGTTTTATAGCATAATTGCAGTTGTTAATTTACTGTTCACTTTTAGTCAGAGCCAATAGCCTAGTGGTACAGTATGCCAACATATTGCACCCCTGTGCTCACAGCAACCCGAGTTTGATTCCCGGCTCAAGGTCCTTTGTCGATCATTCCCCTCTCTCTGTTCCTAATACTTTCCTGTCTGAAATCTCTAATGTCCGATAATAGGTGAAAAACCCCTAAAAAATATTATTACAGAGCACTTGTAAATTTTACAGTATTACTGGTAATAAAAATCACCAGAAATACTGTAAATTTAAAGCAATTTCTTACAGTGTCTGAAATACACAGTAATTTTTAAAATGCAACTTTAACATACAGCAACATATCAAATAACTGTCCTACAGTAAAATTCAGTTCACATTACTGTTAAATACTGTGTAATTTACAAAAATCATTAACAGTGCAAATATTTGAATAGTTTGAATTGACAGTTAATATGATTAATGGCTTAAATTAAATAGTAAATATTTACATTGGACTTTTAAAACATCTTTTGAGCAGTTTGTGAACCTACATTATTCAAATCAGTCGATTGATTTGCATTGATATGGTAATATTTGTTTTAAGTTGCCTTTGACTTTGTTGCAGCAGCAGTGTTTATTTCTGTCTTGTAAATGCGCCCAAATTACTTTATTTTCGATTATATGTCTGAACAAGAGAAGTGAATTGCTGAATCTCTCGTGAAAAACTGATGATCCTCTCATTTGTCATGTGATGATTGGCTGTTTGCTGCACTTGTGCGTTGTGTAATTGGCTGTATATTTCAAGCATTATGAAACCATTTGACTAGGTTGGATTTGTTTGGTTTTATCAGCCAGAAACTTCATCTGCAGCTCTATCTGGGCCTCACCACAATATTTTATTATATTGTAATTACCAAAAAACGTTCTTACCATTGGTAAAGTGATGTCAGAGTTTGAGTTGACCAGTGGGTTTTGGTTTATTTGTGGTAAGTGGAAGACTGTGAGGCTGGGATCTGTTTCTGTATTCACTCTTCTCAAGTGAGATTCATCTTCACAATGTCTTACTAAAGTAAAAAACAAGATGTACTCATTTACTCATATTGATCACATGTATGACTTCATGCTTGTACCATGATGTAGATTTTACTGACTGTAAATGGCCAATAAATACAGATTTGTTGGTCTTACTTTGGCGGGATCCCTCCATGTGTCCACCGTAGTAATTAACCCGTGAAATTGGGCTGTAATCCAAAGAGGAATCCACATAGACTGACCTCAAAGTAGACATTTCTCCAACTGCTCTTCCACCCTCCACCCGACTGCGCTTCCCTCTGCCATTTAGATCCTTGGGACGGTCAGTCAGATGTGGGAGTATCTGGTGAATGCCAAATTAAAATAAAACAGTCACAATCATTTAGACATTTGATCAAATTCACATGTACTGTCCACGTTTTTCACATTCTCGAAAGCCAAATTCATCCCATAAACAACAGTATATTACATCAGTGAAATAGATTAACCATGAAAATGAAGTCAGATGCTGTTAAAGGTCAGATGTTTACTTTTGCGTAGACCTTTCCATGGGTCTGGTCTTATGATGGCTGAAGCACAGTGCCAGTTAAATGGTCAGAGGGGTTTTAAGGTCAATGGAGAAAGAGACAGGACATACTGTGGAAGGGTTTGTACTGGCTGCTAAAGTCACGGCTTCATCTTCAGTCTGATTGAGTGCTGTTTCTGTCTCTGGGGTTGGAATGATCTGAGTATGGCATGTGTTGATGGCTATCCTCACATTCTTGAGCCTTTTTCTGTCTTTTGGCTGCTCCTTCAGTTGGTCTTTCTCTTCTTGAGGCTTAAAGGTAATTTGTTCATCTGGAATCCAAATAGTTTCAGATATAAGACAATGTGCGAATATCATTTTTTCGGTATCATCTTTTATGTTGCTGTGAATGTGAAAGGTTTGTAATGTTCTAGAGGTGAAAGTGAATGATAAAGAACACTTAATCTGGATAGTCATAAATCCATCCATCCATCCATCCATCCATCCATCCATCCATACATCCATACATCCATACACCTATACTTCCACCTATATATCCATCCATCTATTATTCTACCAATCTATCCATCCATATATCTATCCATCCATCCATCCTTCCATTCATCCATCCATCCATCCATCCATCCATCCATCCATCCATCCTTTCCACTATCCATCCACCTATATATCCATCCATCCATCCATCCATCCATCCATCCATCCATCCATCCATCCATATATCTATATATCCATCTATTTATTTATCCATCCATCCGTATATCTATATACTGTATCCATCAATCTATACAGCCATCTATCTATATATCTATATAGCCATCCATTCATCTATTCATGCATCCATCCATCCATCCATCCATCCATCCATAGATATATCTCTATCCATCCATATATCCATCCATTTATATATCCATCCGTCCGTCCTTCCATCCATCCATCCATCCATCCATCCATCCATCCATCCATCCATCCATCCATCCATCCATCCATCCATTTATCTATCCATCCATCCATCCATCCATCCATTTATAATATCTATATATCCATCTTTTTCTCCATCCATCCATCCATCCATCCATCCATCCATCCATCCATCCATCCATCCATATATCTATATATCTATCTATTTATTTATCCATACATTCATATATCTATATATCCATCCATCCGTATATCTATATACTGTATCCATCCATCTATTTAGCCATCTATCTATATATCTATAGCCATCCATTCATATATCCATCCATTCATCCATCCATCCATAGATATATCTCCATCCAACCATATATCCATACATTTATATATCCATCCGTCCATCCATCCATCCATCCATCCATCCATCCATCCATCCATCCATCCATCTATCCATCCATTCATCCATCCATCCATCCATCCATCCATCCATCCATCCATATATTTATATATCCATCCATCCTTATATCTATATACTGTATCAATCCATCTATATATCCATCCATCTATATATCTACATAGCCAACTATCCATCCATCCATCCATCCATCCATCCATCCATCCATCCATCCATCCATCCATCCATCCATCCATCCATCCAATATATCTTAAGTTAAGTGGGTTAAAAGCACTGATTATACTGATAAACAAATTGTTTATAATTTACATGATTTAACATTTAGATATTAGTTGATTGATATAAAGCACAATCAATGTACAAAGCTGTTAATAAGTTATTTACAAATAGTATTTAGGGGCTGTACAAAATACTAAAATATCAGAGCTAATGTAAAAGAAATAGGTCTTCATCTGTGAAAGGATCAAGTTAATGAAATAAATGTGATAAGGAATTTAAAAAAAGTATAAATATAAGGTGATAAATATATGCTATTGGTGTTAAAAATACAACACTGTATCACAGAAATGAACCACAGTACATTTTATGCAAACACAATAACACACCAACAATACTGCTTTTATTATCCTTTTGTCAAATAAATGCAGACCCTGACAAAATGTAATTGAAGAAATGTAATACAACATCTTAACTCCAGTCAATTACAATACACTCAAAAAATGATTCATTGATTTTTTTAATGATTTACTACATTTTTTTAAGGTAAGGGTTTTACAAACAAGATACATGGGCTGAATTTGAAAAAACAAAGTAAGTTGAACAGTACTAAAATTAATTTGATTGTTTGATTGTTGTATTCAGCCCATATAAATTGTTTGCAACCACTTATCTTTAAAATAATTGATAAATCCAATGAATCATTTTTTTCAGTGTATCATAAGTTATTATTCTGTATAAGCAGTTATTTACCAGTAATCTGATCACAGAATATGCTGCATCCATTCATAATGATTTACTTCTCAGAAATAAACTTTCACATTTACTTGGCAAAGAGAAGGTAAAATCCACACATAATGCTTTCATGTCTAATGTCTGTCATAATGTCTGAGCATGAATAGAGATCATTCAGAGGCCGGTATCTAATGTGTGTTAAAGATCTTAAAGATGTAAACATTCACCCTCTGAATGGACTCTGACTAAACATAGTAATACTTTTAGCATGTGTGTTTTGTGTTCGCTGGCGTTGTGGTGCAGCACCGGATGTTCTTGATCTAATCAAGAACTGCTTTTGAATAGTCATTGTTTACCTAGTTGTTAGTTTCGTTTGTGTTTTGATTTGTAATGAACTCTACCTGGTATCGTGGGTGTTTTGTCTTGGACTTGTATGTGAACCAGACCCTCTGTTATGGGCGGCAGAGGGTCTTGAGTTGGCTGGTTGGGTCGAGGAGATGAGAAGAAACGTGGGTGATATCTGACCTCTCCAACTTTCTCTCCTGAAACACATAGTCAGATTTACATTACACATGCTGTGTTCTATCGCCTTTTATCCCCCCTATGTCCTATTCATTTAGAACATTCTAACATTCAAAGTTGGAATTATTGAAAGTAAAAAAGCATTAAGGTCATCTCTCCTAGGTGTAATTTGCTTTCAAACTATTTTTAAAGTTCAGTTTTAGCTCTCCACTCCTCCATGAGCACCACAACATCTGCGATAATCCAACCAACCAACCAACCAACCATGCAACCAAACCAATCCACTAACCAACTAACCAACCAACCATGCAACCAAACCAATCCACTAACCAACTAACCAACCAACCTACCTACCAACCAACCAACCAACCAACCAACCAACCAACCACCAACCAACCAACCAACCAACCACCAACCAATCAACCAACCAAACCAACCAACCAACCAACCAACCAACCAACCTACCAACCAACCAACCAACCAACCTACCAACCAACCAACCAACCAACCAACCAACCAACCAACCAACCAACTAACCAAACAACCAACCAACCAACCAACCAACCAACCAACCAACCAACCAACCAACCAACCAACCAACCAACCAACCAACCAACCAACCAACCACCAACCAACCAACCAACCAACCACCAACCAATCAACCAACCAAACCAACCAACCAACCAACCAACCAACCAACCTACCAACCAACCAACCAACCAACCTACCAACCAACCAACCAACCAACCAACCAACCAACCAACCAACCAACTAACCAAACAACCAACCAACCAACCAACCAACCAACCAACCAACCAACCAACCAACCAACCAACCAACCAACCAACCAACCAACCAACCAACCAACCAACCAAACCAACCAAGCTGTAAAGAAGCTGCAGATGTAAGCTGGCCCACTGGATCAATACAAAGACTCGTCTGTCACTGGGGTCTTTCAGGAATCAGTCTCATGCTCTCCACTCCTCCATGACCACTACAACATCTGCAACAATCCAACAATCCAACCAACCAACCAACCAACTAACCAACCAACCAACCAACCAACCCACAAACCAACCCACAAACCAACCAATCAACCAACCAGACTCAGTAGGGAACGACCATTTCTTCTCTGTCCAAACATCCTGTGCAGAGCTACGGTCTAGGTACCAGAAGCTGAAGAACCCTGGACCTCCAATGTGGAGAAGCTGCAGGTGTGAGCAGGACACCGGCTGGTGTACATGCTGGCCCACGGGATCAGTGCAGAGACTCGTCTGTCACTGGGGTCTTTCAGGAATCAGTCTCATGCTCTCCATTTTATTTTTATTTTAAATGCGTGTGCTTGTAAAACAATCAAATTTTCACAAAGAAGTTATGGGTTTTTTTCTGTAAACAAGTAGTTACTCCACCCAGTTTAAAGCATCTTTATGGGCGTTTTACTTTATAACTTACATGGTTCAAGAGATGTGGATTTGGATTACATGGATCTGGAACAGAGAAATGCGTTTTGAGAAACACACGTCACTACATCTTTTCCCAAGCGATGCATCGTACTATGATAGTTCAGCCGGGAGTTATGTTGTTGTTTGTGAAACGCACCCCAGACCAATCAACCAACAAATCAATCAATCAACCAACAAACCAACTAAACCAACTTACAAACTAACCAAGCCAACCAACCAACCAATTGGTTTAATTTTTTTTTTAATTTTTCTTAGTTGAAAGTACAATTTTAATTGTAACATGGGTATATAATTAATACATAAACAAAAGAACAAACTAATCAATCAATACATCAATAAACCAAACCAACCAACCCAACGAACCAACCAACCAACCAAGCCAACTGATCAACTGACTGACCAACCAACCAACCAACCAACCAACCAATATTTTGTTAAGTTGTATGCAATAACACAAATTATAACTACCAACCAACCAATCAATCAATCAATCAATCAATATTTTGACCAGCTGTATACAATAACACACAACTATAATTTTATGACAGATTTTTTTTCCTCTGTTAAAAGTAAATTTTTAATTGTAACATTGGTATAAAATAATAAATAAACAAAAGAACAAACTAATCAATCAATAAATCAATAAAGTAATCAACCACCTAAACCAACCAAACCCAACCAACCAACCCAACCAATCAACGTTCGAGGTTACAGAAGTAACCCTTCGTTCCCCGAGGAGGGGAACGGAAGTGCCATGAATGGGAGGATTCGGATCAGAAGCCGCTTATCTGGAGAGTATTGAACGGGCCAATGAATGAAATTAATTGGCAGCGTAAGCTTGCGCAGGTGTGCGACATCTGCAATCATCTCAGCATATAAGCACACCTGAAGCCAGCAGACACCATCCTTTTAAGCTGAAGAGACTTTCAAACAGCTAAGGGACAGTCATTATGGCGACGGAATATGGCACTTCCGTTCCCCTCCTCGGGGAACGAAGGGTTACTTCTGTAACCTCGAACGTTCCCCTTCGGTTGGGGAACTTCAGTGCCATGAATGGGAGAATATGGAAAGCGCCATAATGACTGCACCTTACCAACACCCCCGATGAGGAGATAGTCAAGCAAGCGTGACGCACCCACATCATGGGGGGCGCGGTCCTCCAACGTGTCCCTGGCCCTAATTTATCCTACTTCAACAGAAGTTTTACGGATTTAGATATATTTTTTGGGAAGTCGTGAGCATCTAGATAATTCTAGGAAATACGACAGTACGTTGGGAAGCGTGCAATCCCGATAGGGAGGACGCTGCGGAGGCCATCCGTTACCCAAGGGGGGGATAGATGGCAGAATTACCTATGGACTAGCCCTAAAAGGGGGAGTACGCATAGCAAAGAGTGGTTAGCGGAGAGGGAAGACACGGGTCCGCCCAGGGGGGGGACTTAACCGTGGCGGAATAAGCATATGGGATCGCCTAGTGGGGATCACGCATAGCAGGCACCTATACCCAAAACGCGGGCTGACCAGCGGGCAGACCTACAACGTAGTGGACCAGCAAGTGACTCCTCCGCTGAGTCAGTGCTGGGGGCCACGGAGGAATCTGCAGGGCTCACCTGACGGGGAACTTTACTGACAGATAAAAAAGGCGCACGTACCTCCGTGTTAGGGAGAATGGCGCAGCAAGCGTGTTTCAACACCCTACCGAGTTGTCTCCTCAATCACCAAAGGGTTACCTAATACCCTTGAGGAAACCGGCATCACTCGCAGATTGTAAAACCTTGCAAATGTGTTGGGTGTCGCCCAGCCCGCAGCTCTACAGATGTCTGTTAGAGAGGCGCCGCGTGCACGCGCCCAAGAGGATGCAACGCTCCGAGTGGAGTGTGCACGTACTCCCGGGGGACACGGCTGACCTCGACTCGAATAAGCGAGTGAAATGGCATCCACAATCCAGTGGGATAATCTTTGTTTCGATACGGCACTTCCCTGCTGCCGACCGCCATAACAGACAAAGAGCTGCTCAGATGATCTAAAATTCTGAGTACGGTCCACATAAATGCGCAGAGCGCGAACTGGACAAAGTAAAGAAAGGGCTGGGTCTGCCTCCTCCGGGGGCAGCGCTTGCAGGTTCACTACCTGATCTCTAAAGGGGGTGGTAGGAACCTTGGGCACATAACCGGGGCGGGGTCTCAGGATAACGTGAGAGTAATCCGGCCCGAATTCCAGGCACGAGTCACTGACCGAAAATGCCTCCAGGTCCCCGACCCTCTTGATGGAGGCCAACGCAACCAGCAGAGCTGTCTTCAGGGACAGAAATCTTAGAGATACTGATTCGAGTGGCTCAAAGGGATCGGATCGCAGACTCGTGAGAACGAGGGCGAGATCCCAAGAGGGCATGAGAGGGGGGCGAGATGGATTAATTCGCCTAGCACCCCTAAGGAACTGGATGACCAGGTTATGCTTTCCCACGGTGCCGCCAGCTACCGCGCTATGATAAGCGGAGATGGCGGCCACGTAAACCTTGAGAGTGGAGGGCGACAGCCTGCTGTCCAACTTCTCTTGAAGGAAAGAGAGCACAACACTAATCTGGCAATTTCGGGGGTCTTCTCTGCGAGAGACGCACCATTCAGTGAATAGACTCCACTTCAGGGCGTAGGCGCGCCTCGTGGAGGGGGCTCTAGCCTGAGTGATGGTATTAACCACCGCAGTCGGTAGGTTACCTAAGTCTTCCTCGCGTCTAGGGACCACACGTGGAGGTTCCAAAGATCGGGGCGAGGGTGCCAGATGGTGCCCTGTCCCTGAGAGAGTAGGTCCTCTCTCAAAGGGATCCGCCAGGGGAGGGCCGTCGCGAGGAGTGAGAGCTCTGATATCCAGGTCCGGTTGGGCCAAAGGGGCGCAACTAGCAGAACCTGTTCCTCGTCCTCCCTGACCTTGCACAGAAACTGCGCGAGCAGGCTCACTGGGGGAAACGCATACTTGCGCATGCCCCGAGGCCAGCTGTGGGCCAGTGCATCCGTGCCGAGAGAGCCCTCGGTCAGGGAAAAAAACAACTGGCAGTGAGCGTTCTCGGGGGAAGCAAACAGATCGATCTGGGCCTCCCCGAATCGCGCCCATATCAGCTGAACAGACTCGGGGTGGAGTCTCCATTCTCCAGGGCGTAACAGCTGTCGTGAGAGCGCATCGGCTGCACGATTGAGCGTGCCTGGGACGTGAATGGCGCGCAGCGATTTCAGCCGCGGGTGACTCCAGAGGAGCAGACGGCGGGCGAGCTGAGACATGCGGCGAGAGCGCATACCCCCCATGCGGTTGATATACGCCGCCGCCGCCGTACTGTCCGTCCTGACCAGCACGTGTTGCTGCTCCAGCACCGGTAAAAAGCGGTGGAGAGCGAGGAACACTGCCAACAGCTGGGCACCCTTCCAGAGGCCCGCAGCCGCATGCCCGCGACACACGGCCCCCCAACCCGTGTTGGAAGCGTCTGTTGAAACAACAACATGGCTGGACGCCTGTCCTAGAGGCACACCGGCCTGTAGGAACGAGGGGTCGTTCCAAGGGCTGAGGGCGCGGCGACACAGCGCAGTAACCGAGACCCGGTGTGTGCCCGCGTGCCATGCGCGTCTGGGGACCCGATCGTGAAGCCAGTGCTGAAGTGGTCTCATATGGAGCAACCCGAGCGGCGTGACGGCGGCTGCGGATGCCATATGCCCCAGGAGCCTCTGAAAGAACTTCAGTGGGACCACTAGTTTGCTGTCGAGCTCCCTCAGACAGTTCAGCAACAGGCGAGCGCGTTCCTCGGAGAGGTGCGCTACCATGGTGATCGAGTCCAGCTCTATCCCGAGAAAAGAAATCCTCTGCACGGGGGCGAGTTTGCTCTTTTCTCGGTTGACCTGAAGCCCCAGTAGGCGGAGATGCCGAAGCACCTCGTCCCTGTGCATAATCAATTGCTCCCGCGAGTGGGCTAAAATCAGCCAGTCGTCGAGATAATTGAGTATGCGAATGCCCGCGAGCCGAAGGGGCGCTAGGGCACCCTCCGCGAGTTTGGTGAAGACCCGCGGAGACAGAGAGAGCCCGAAGGGGAGGACCTTGTACTGCCACGCTCGACCCTCGAACGCAAACCGCAGAAATTGGCGGTGGCGTGGAAGAATGGAGACATGGAAATACGCGTCCTTCAGGTCTATGGCTGCAAACCAATCCCGAGGACGAACGCATTGGAGAATGCGCCTCTGCGTGAGCATTCTGAACGGCAGCTTGTGCAGACAGCGGTTCAAAACGCGCAGATCTAGGATTGGCCGTGACCCACCGCTCTTTTTGGGTACGATGAAGTATGGGCTGTAAAACCCACTCTCCATCTCGGCTGGAGGAACCGGCTCGATTGCACCCTTCGCCAGGAGGGCAGCAATCTCCTCTCGCAAGACAGGGGCGGACAGGGGGTTGACCCTGGAGAAATACACGCCCGTAAACTTGGGGGGCCGTTTCGCGAACTGAATCGCGTAACCGAGTCTGATTGTGCGTATGAGCCACCGCGAGGGGCTGGCCCGCGCTAACCAGGCAGGCAGAGCCCTCGCTAATGGAGTCATCGCTACAATCGCTGACGTACCAGCGGTGGGGCAGCGCGGAGTGGGTGTGCTGATCCGGGAAGCACGAGGGTCCCGCGGAAAAGCTGGAGGAGAGCGATTCGCTCTGGCTCCGCACCCTGACTCCGGAGAGGGGGCTGGAGGGCTGAGGGAAGGGAGACCGTCCCCCCAGCGCTCGTGAGCCACTGGCGAAGCACGTAGAGTCTGCGAGCCGGAAGGCAGCGCGTCCCGGACTGGCAGAACTCGTGCAGTCACATCCGGGGAAGGGGAAAAGTGCTCTTTTACTGATGTTTTGGTGGCACTGAAAAGTACCGTTGTAATCGGGGCCCCGCCCTCCAGCGGGGAAAGAGCAAGTTTCCTCTTCTCCGGATGGCCTGTCTCAGGGACGCTTCGCGGTCCGTTTACCGGACTTAACGGCGCCCTGGGCAGGAGGGGCTGCCTGCTTTCGAGGTGAACGCCGCGCCCGCTTGGCCGGAGGCGCAGGCGGGGGCGGGGCAGCACTCGTTGGCGGGCGCCCTCGGCGAGGAACAGCGGAGGTGGATGGCTCGGCGGGCGGAGCGGGCTTACGGCCACGCCGATAGATGACATTGCCCATCGCATCCGACTGCTCTTTCACCGCCTTGAATTCCTGGGTGAATTCACCGACGGTGTCGCCGAACAGGCCAGCCTGGGATATGGGCGAATCAAGAAAGCGAACTTTGTCAACGTCGCGCATATCGGCCAGGTTTAGCCAGAGGTGGCGTTCCTGAACCACAAGTGTGGACATCGTCCTCCCCAGCGCACACGCGGCGGACTTAGTAGTCCGAAGAGCATAGTCGGTCGCGGTGCGCAGCTCATGTAATAAGCTTGGGTTGGACCCGCCCTCGTGCAGCTCGGCCAGCGCCTGCGCTTGGTAGCGCTGGTAGGTGGCCATCGCGTGCAAAGCAGAAGCAGCCTGGCCCGCAGCCTTATAAGCTCTGGCTCCGAGGGAGGCAGACAACCTACAGGCTTTGGACGGGAGGCGGGGCAAACCCCGCCACGTAGAGGCGCCGCGCGGACAAAGATTGACCGCGATAGCGCGCTCCACTGACGGGATCGCCTCATACCCCCTGGCAGCTCCGCCGTCAAGGGCGGTGAGGGCGGAGGCACTCGCAGCACGGGCAGAGAAAGGTGCCCTCCAGGACTGCGTGAGCTTACTGTGCACTTCCGGGAAGAAGGGGACGAGAGGCTTCGAAGGCTTCGCCTTCTGGTCCTCTACGTAGCACCCATCTAGTCGGTCCGGCCGCGGAGCTGGGGGATAAACCATCTCCAACCCCACGGCCGAAGCAGCCCGGGAAAGCACGGCTAACATGTCCGCTTCAGGATCCGATTTGACAGCGCTCACCTGCCCGGAGGGGGCGAGCGGGTCCGGATCTTCGTCAGACAGTGAAAGCCCACCCTCCGATGCCGCGGAGGACATCTGATCTCCGGTGTCAGCGAGTGTGAGAGCTACCATCTGGTTAGACGGATCACTCTCACCACCCGAAGCTTGGATGGAGCGCCGTGAGGAGCGAGAGGTCCGCGAGCCCGTGGGCGGCGGATTAGCTCCCGCTGAAACCCTCAGATCTGCCCGAGCGCCCGCTGCTTTTTTAGAACAGGAGGCAACTGGGGTGGCTCGCTCTCTTGCGAAAGTTAGCCGCGATCTTAGCTGTGCAACGGTCATGGCATCGCAATGACGACATGAACCGCCCGCGAGCACCGCATTAACATGCTGGACCCCCAAACATGCAATGCAGTGATCGTGTCCATCATCCGGAGACAGGAAACCCCCGCATCCAGAAACGCACAGTCGGAGCGCCATCCTGAAAAGGACGTGCTGCACGACTGTGTTGCTCTTTTAGGAAAGTTGCAACTATACGCACCGCTCTGGAGGACCGGACCCAAAGAACCGCAGGCAAGGGAGTAACCCAGCTCGACCGTCTGACACCGCGAAGACCCACTCTGGACCGGGAGACACACTCGTTCGCTCTGAAGTGCTGATCAGCAAGAGGAACCCTCATCGACTCACTCAGAAAGGATCTGAAGCGAAAAGGATGGCGTCTGCTGGCTTCAGGTGTGCTTATATGCTGAGATGATTGCAGATGTCGCACACCTGCGCAAGCTTACGCTGCCAATTAATTTCATTCATTGGCCCGTTCAATACTCTCCAGATAAGCGGCTTCTGATCCGAATCCTCCCATTCATGGCACTGAAGTTCCCCAACCGAAGGGGAACCAAGATTTTGACCAGTTGTATACAATAACACACAATTAAAAATTTATTATAACGACATTTTTTATTTTCCTAATTTAAAGTAAAACTAACTTAAATTGTAACATAAACAATATTGTAAAATTAATAAATAAACAAAGGAAGACACTAATCATTTAATCAATCCATCTTACACCAAACTTTTGTACAGTACTATGCATTCAAACTGAGTCAATAATTTGTTATGACAGGACTTTTACATTTCCCCAATTAAAGCATTGACTTTATAAATGAATAAACAAACAAATATTACCCCAAACTTTTAAACAATAGTAGAACAGTAGGTACAAGTATTTATTTGTAGACCCTCACCTTTCACCAGGCTGGAGTTGCAGCACTTGTCTGCAGGTCTGTGATGGATGTGGATGGTTTGTATTGCAGGTTTAGCGGCTGGCAACAAGGGGTGCTTTACCTCAGAAAGAGATCCGGCCTTTGTCTAAAAGAAACAAAGAAGCAAATGTAAAGAGCAGCACACATGTTTGATTTTCACATCTTCATGATTATCCAGGCCTCTGCAAACATGGAGGTTTTCCACATTATCTCTTTTGAAGCCACTCAGACATGATGTTCACTTATTTTCAAGGTCATTTGTCTGTATTAGCAGGATGGGTTTCTGTACACACACACACACGCACACACACACACACACACACACACACACACACACACACACACACACACACACACACACACACACACACACACACACACACACACACACACACACACACACACACACAACTTGAATGCAGAGCTCAGTCACGCTGGACTTCTTTTTGGATGTAATGCCTTGCAATGGATTCAAAGGAATAGAAGAGAAGTGAGATGTTTTGATCTCCTGGGCTGAGCATTTAACAATAATAAAGCGAAACCAGGTGCCAGACTTAAATGCTTCCAAATCAGTTACCTTAAAGAGTCTAAAGAGGGACAAAAAATACTTTGTTTTTAAATCTTAAATCATGCTAAAATTAAAAATGTTATCTCTTATAAGTATTAGTAATTAATAATATTTATATAAATTATATTTAGGGGAGGTAGGTGGCTCAATGGTTAGCACTGTCTCCTTACAGCAAGAAGGTCACTGGTTCGAGTCCCGTCTGGGGCATTTGGCATTTCTGTTTGGAGTTTGCATGTTCTCCCCGCGTTGGCGTGGCTTTCCTCCAGGTGTTTCGTTTTCTCCCACAGCCCAATTTGACCCGTAAATGTTTTTTTTTTTTTTGAAAACTGCTTTTATTCTAGCCAAAATAAAACAAATAAGACTTTCTTCAGAAGAAAAAATATTATCAGACATACTGTGAAAATGTCATTGCTCTGTTCAACATAATTTGGAAAATATTTAAAAAAGAAAAAAAAATCAAAGGTGGACTAATAATTCTGACTTTAACTGTATGTGGTAACCTGTGGTAAAGTGTAACCTATGTGTAAAAAAGGTTAAATAGTTATTTTGCTTTTGTGCTGTGAATGTTTCATTTAATTATTTTTGTCTATTTTACTTTAAGTAAATCAAAACTAAAAATCAAACCATTAACTATATATGTTTATAACTAATGCTAATTTTATTTTAGCTGGTAGCCAATTAAAATTTTTCTTTAAACTTATGAAAATAAATATGAAAACATGAAGATAATTGTAAAAAACAAACAAACAAACGTAAAAAAACATTTTAAAAATAAGAAATGACAAAGAATTTTATTACTAAAACATTGAAAGTCTTATTTTGAACAAAACATAACAGAAAATGTAATTGAACAGACTTAAATTCAACTGTCTATAAAAATAAAATATTTTTTTTCTTATTAAACTACAGAAATTACATAAAAAAATAAACTAAACAATAACACTGGTCTGTAGTTTTTACTTTATATTATTTTATTACTTATAAACATTTAATAAAATTTTTCATTTAAATTTCCTTCCAGCCAACAACAATGCTGTTGTTATGTGTGTAATTGCGCATGAATCATCTGAATTGTGCTGGTCTTTTTTTCGGAAGATGACTGTGGTGTTATTCAGCACACCTGTGTTGTTTACACTGAGCTAGAGCTGAACGTGACGGATGGAGACTCACTCAGACCACCCACACCGAACACCCCTCTCCCTGGATCCCCTCCAAATCCCTGTCCAAACCCTCATGCATGTGAAGTAAACACACTGATTACTACATTCAGCTCTCATCACCTGGACCAGGCCACATCTGCCCCGACAGAGAGACATTTCAATCAAATTCTGCTGCAGTTTTATTCCGTGTCATTGAAGTTTCTCTTTTCCTCCTCTGATGATTCATGCGGGTTGCTGGACATTGTGAAAATTAAACCACCATGGAGTTTACCTTTCACACTCAAAATGCACACCTGATTCTTTTCATCTTGCTGATTTCACAGAGTGCAGAGAAAGGCTACATTTATCCAGCGGAGTTTTCGTTTTTTAACACTGGTATTACCAGAATCCATATGACTAAAATGGACAAAGCAGTCATTCTGACCATTCATACAAGATAGAATTTTTGTCACATCATATTTACATTCAAAGCTTCTACTTAGATTTTGGAATTAAGATTTGAATGTCTGAAGTCATATTTACTATTTTCATATTTATTTATTACGTCATTACTTAAAAAATGTTTGATCTATTTTTGTATCATCGCTTATGATTTTGAGTTAGCCCACTTGCAAAGGTTGTTCTACTATTTTAGATTTTCTACATTTGGAGCTTGAACCACTTTCGTTTAGACAATTTCATTCTGAAAAAACCTTATCAGCTGGAAGCATTACTGTTAAAAAGAGTGGTTTGAAGTTATGAATTGAACGATCCACTTCTGGTTATCATAATTTAAAGACTTTGAGCCCTATCATACACCCAGCGCAATGCAACGTCAGGCATGATGCAAGTGTTTTTTGCTTGTTTAAGTTGGGAGCAAGTATCATTTTTACATTTTGGGTCATGTATATGCATTTGCACCCATTTCTGCACCCATGGGCGTGTTGGTCTGAAAATGAGGTGTGTTAAGTGTACTTTGTTGGCACATTGTTATTTTGAGGCAACTGAAACAGATTATGCCATTGACCAACTAAAAGCTGAAGTGCATGAAGAATGGAAGATACTTCTTTCATAGATTGTATTTAACCTTGCGCAGATTGTCTTTAAATACACTGTAAAAAAAAAAAAACTAATTTTACAGAAAATATCCTTAAATTTTTTACTGTAATTTTTTTTTCATTTCACATTATATTCAAAACTTAGTAACATGACAACCAATCTCTCTAAATTAACCGTTTGACTTTCATTTTAGGTACTTTAGTATTAAAGACAAATTACTGACATTTGTGTTTTTTATACAGGGAAATTACAGTATTATTTATACAGTATTTTTTCTGTTATTTTAAATTCTAAAACTACAAACGTAATATGTAAATTAACAGCTTGACTGTTATTTTATGTACTATAAGTAATGACAAATTACAGAAATTTGTCTGTTTTTTTTTTTTTTACAAAAAAATGACATATTATTTACAGTTCTTTCCTGTTTTTTAAGTACAGTTAAAATTACGTAAAATTAAAGTAATAAATTGTAATTACTTGCTTTGTAAAAAAAATAAAAAATCGTAAAAAAAAGGTCAAATGACTGGCAGCTACAGCTGCCAAACAAAAACCATAAGATTACGGTAAAATTTCTTTGTTGAAAAAATGTGCAAAAAATAATAAATCTACAGATATTTTCATAAAAAAAAGTTTACAGAGAAACACTGTTATTTTACAGACTTTTCCTAGATTATTACGATCAAATCCATTTAATAAAGTAACACACTAAGAGTGCTCACATACACCTGTTTCAGATTCCACTGATTGCACACACACAGTCGGAGGATCGTTATGAACTGATTAAATGCACTTTAAAAGCTTTAAAAGTCTTGTTATACTGCTACTTTGAACATTATGACGTGTTTCTCTTCTTTTGCCTTGCTTTGTTTGTTAATTGTTTATGTTGTTTGCTGCCGGGACTGACCATTTGCCTGTTATTTGACCATGATTCCGGATTCCCTGCAAAATGTTACATCTGTTTGCCCCTGTGTTGACTGTTGCTTGCCTTTAGATCTGCACTCTTTTGTCAGCGTCCCCTTCATGTTACAGTTATTTCATTTAAGATCTGTAACTGAATCATTCTTTATAACTTAAATCTCTGCATGTTTTACATAAACACTATTCAATAAAATGCAACAACTGTAATTTTAAAGTTGTGAGAATTTTAATCAATTGTTTCTCGTTTGTTGTTTTTTCCCAAAATTTTTTAAACCAAAATAAAACTGTTAAATTACGATCATGAGCATGTCTTGGCATGTTATTAAAGGTGTTTAATCGTAATGATTTAGGGAAAATTCTTTTAAATAACACTGTTTTCTCTTGAACTTTTAGAGCAGGCACTTTATTGATGATGTTTGATCATATTAATCTAGGAGAAGTCTGTATAATAACAGTGTTTCTTTGTAAAACTCTTAGTGTATACCTTTATTGAATGGATTTGATCGTAATAATCTAGGAAAAGTCTGTAAAATAACAGTGTTTTTCTGTAAACATTTTAATGAAAGTATCTGTAGATTTATTATTTTTTGCACTTTATTTTAACAAAGACATTTTACCGTAATTTTATGGTTTTTGTTTGGCAGCCGTAGCTGCCAGTCTTTGACCTTTTTTTAACGATTTTTTTTCTAACAGTGTATTTTGTGACATGTATATAGCATCGAAAGAGAGGTAAAGAAGACATTGTGTAACTACTTTTAGCTTCGGTATGTTTTCAGTCATGTTAGGCTTTAGATTTTTGGCTTTATGTGTTTTTCAGTCTAATAGAAAGAACATTTAGCAAAAACACGTTTATGTGTGTCTTTTAACAAAATGTATTAATTTGTGTCTGTAGATTTCAATTATGGGGTGACGCAGTGGCGCAGTAGGTAGTACTGTTGCCTCAGAAGGTTGCTGGTTTGAGCCTCAGCTGGGTCCATTGGCATTTCTATAGCACCTATGTTCTACTCGTGTTCGCATGGGTTTCCTCCGGGTGCTCTGGTTTCCCTCACAAGTCCTAAGACATGTGGTACAGGTGAATTGGGTAATATCAAATTGTCCATAGTGTATGTGTCTGAATGAGAGTTTATGGGTATTTCCCAGTGATGAGTTGCAGCTGGAAGGGCATCGGCTGTAAAAAATATGCTAGATGTGTTGGTGGTTCATTCCGCTGTGGCGACCATAAATTAACAAAGGGACTAAGTTGAAAAGAAAATTAATTAATGAAGATTTCAATTACAATATATAAAGTCTGTTTTATATGTTTGTTTTCTCAAAAGATATTTTTTTCCTCCTGCACACAGAGCCTTATAAATAATATATACACCAAACTTCAAAGGTTTATTCAGGTTTTCACTAAGGGATATATTCATATATAATTTG